AAGGCACAATCTCTCTAAGAAACAGATCTACAAGTGAGAGCAAGACCAAGCCATAACTGAGGTTCCCCTAGACCGCTGTTAAGTTACAGCATACCTTAATGGTCTACCTGGAACATGTTAAGTTACAGCATACCTTAACAGTCTACCTGGAACAGGACTGGTGTGTGGCATCCCCTACAGTGTCTCAGAGACCTGCCTGTCCCTGTCTCCAGGCCCTGCAGTAGGGTCTTAAAGTGCTGTAGTTGTGTTTTTAGACTTCCAGAGACTCTCTGGTGAAGTGGGGATATAATTAAAAAAAAAAAAAAAAAAAGACACCTTTGTTGACTTGGGGAAGGTGAAGAAAGCATTTCCAGACAATTCTAACCTATGCCGAAGGAATAATCTCATGCTGACAATTTGTTTTTACAAAATTGTTTTTAATGATTTGGGTGGTCAGACCAAGCTTGCATTAAAAAAATAAAAAAAAGGTCATTTAGAAACGTTTCAATAGGAGGCTTTAAAACTCAGAAACTTTGACAGTCATTTCAACAATGAATACATCTTATCATGGCTGACTGAGTTGACACTCTTACGTGCCAGTCGGACCTGTTTGTAAGGGCTGAGGTGGCCAGTTATGCCCCTCATTGCCCTCTAGAGGGCTCTTACTGAGGGGCCCACTGGCCTTGGACCTGGGGCTAAAGAAAGGCCACCCCCCCCCACCCTGCACTGAAGACCTGCTTTCCCTCTCAATACTACCCACCCATCCTTCAGTCCCTTACTTCACTTTCACAAGATGATACTCTTCCAGAACATATAAAATGGGAAAACACACACTTTAGAAAGGTTACTGTCATTTACATCAACCGAAGTTCTAATGATCTTGAGAGGGATGTGAAATGAGAAGAAAAGCAGAAAAGGGAAAGAGCTGGTTTAAGGCTAAGCTAGTCCTGTTACTTAGGTATGCACATGACGCGACAGGCGTAGGAGACTTTAAACCTGCTGATCATCTCATGAGTATATCAGTGATACACGGAACATTTGTGGGTGTAGGGAAGGGAAAAGAATATGTCCAGTAGACTGACTAGCAATGATTAGGAAACCCAAAGGCTTAGTTTTTGCACCCAGGGGCAAGCGCAGTGGCAGAGAAGCATGCTTGCATTCTTAAATATATAAATATATATATCCACAAGGAAAAAGAAAATAAAAATTAAATAAATTATATTCAAAACAAAACAAAACAAAAATAAACCAAACCAAACCAAAGAAACAGAAAAAAAAAGGCTGGCTTGTCAGGGGGTGGGGTCCAGAAGGCCCCAGTGTGTGTACTTACATAGAGGTCAGCACCGTAAAATCCGTCCTGGTAAACCACACTGCAGAAAATCCACACAAAAACAAAAACAAAAAACAAAAGAACAGAAACACATTCCGGTTATTGAGGACGGCAGCATGCACATGCGCGCTACGGGCAGGTGATGTATGGACACGTGCGGCCGGGCGCGGCGACGGCAGTGCGCGAAGCGGGCAGGTGCGCACGCACCATCCTCAGCTCCGCTCATGCAAGGAGGGAAGGAATGCAAAACCAGACCAACCACTGGGCACTGGTAATCAAGACTAAGCCGTTAATGAAGAGCATTCCCAGAGGGCCTAATGTGGCTACTGAAAGTTTCTGAGTGGAGGCATCAACATTTTATGCCTACGTAATTCCCTCGCCCTAGAAGGGAATTTATCTTTACAGGGCTTCCAAAGGGATGTGTGTGTGTGTGTGTGTGTGTGTGTGTGTGTGTCTGCAAGTGTGCACAGGCAGGGACATGGAGAGGAATTTAACGTGAGAAAAATGACCCCAAAGAATGCTATTCGGGCAGGATTATATGCAAAATACAGTTTCAAATGATGTTTAGTATTTTGTTTTCAATTCTATGGTGATACAGTAGGTTGTTTTTTTTTTTTTTCTTTTCCTGCTGCTATCCATACATCACCTGCTTTTTTTCCCTGCACATTAGACATGCGATAAGATTTGGCTGATCACACAAGCATGCAAAGTATTATTATTCAGCATTTTAAGAACCAATGCAACACCTCAGAAAAACAAGTCAATCAATTCTGACCAAAGTAAACAGAGAAATGTAATTAAAAAAAAAAACACAACCAAAAATACCCACAATGCATTGCTTTCACAAGCAGAGATAATGAGCTAAAGGTTAAGGTGATTGGTCCAAGGTCCAAGAATTGAAAGGTGCAGTGGGGATCCCAGATAGTAACAATATAATCCAGAGTGGGAAGGAGCAACTGGAAAGTTTTAAGGGCTCTCTTTTTACCATGAGAATATTCATGGGATTCTGAAAAATACAACTGATAACTGAAATTCTGGGCATGATGAAAGGTTATTTTATTTAAAAGACGATAGCTGACTAGGACTAGGACTAGAAGGACTTACTTTCCTGGTTAGAAAATGAATTTGTATCAAACAAATAGTGCTGACTCTGTTTAAAAATAGTCCCTGAGCAACACTATACTATTATAATTAAAATACAGATTTCAAACCATTTGAGATATTTTTGTACATAAGACTTTCTCTAAAACATTACTTTGGGACTAAAAGACATGAAACAGTAATGAAGATAAAAGATAAGACTTTCTTCTTCATATTTGTTAAGTCAAGATTTGGCTATTTTGAATTAGAAGATTTATCATTTATTCAACTGACCATGTTGGAACTTTCACCACTAACTTCTTCATGATATTAAGGAAGTGAGGTCATTAAATTAGTTCTTTAACTTGGAGATGAAATAACTTATTTCTCAAGTAGCTGAGAAATTTCTGATTCTACTTGCAGTGACGTTTTGGCGTCTTTACCGGTGGCTGCATTCTGGGACAGACCCGAATCCGCTGTGCCTCTGTATCACACAACAGGCAGATCAGACACACTGGTGGCGACCGTCTAGCTAAAAGTCGTGTCAAGTTTCATCCCCTCCAACTCCTGCTGAAGTGTGTAATCAGAAAGCACTCTGCCTGTCCACTGCTTTCAGGGGTGAGACTGGGTCCTCAGCAGAAGGCCCCACGTGGCAAGCGCTGAGGCTGCACGGTGACTCATCGGCCCCCCACTGTTTTAGCAGGGTACAGGCAAAGGTCAAAGCCATTTCTTCTCTGCAGAAGAGTGGCGATATTAAAACATGAATAAACTTTAAGTTGCATTACTCACTGGGAATATTCACCAAAATTCTAGAAGAATTCCAATATTCCCCGTATCAAATGCTACAAGGAGGCTAGACAATGATGATTAACGATGAAATTAGTTTACTAAGCTGAAAAGCAGTTGTAGGCCATTCCCCATGAAATACTGGACTTATTCCTTGCCATCTTCCATGTAAACAGGTAGCTTAGTTAATAAAGAAAACATGGGAAATTAGTGTTCAATGTCATGCACAGAAATCGATGTGATTTTAGGCACAGAACAAACTCTCTGTGAGCGAATATATATAGACCCGACACAGACCTGGGAGAGAAAAGGCTCTCAAGTTCGGTCAATATACTGAAATGACCTACACTGAACAGGAGCGAATCCACCTTGTAGGTCACTCAGGAACGTTACAGAATAAAGGCGTCCCATGTTTCTGCTGAGCAGGGTGCCTGCAGGTGATGGACACTCTTGGACTGAAATGCAGGACACCGCAAGAACAATTTTCCCAGTGTGTAGACTTCTACCAGGTTCAGTTTCATGTTTTCCTTGGTATTTCATGATGAAACATTACTGCATCTTTATTTACTTCTTTAAAGAGATGTCAGAGGTTGAAGGTCAAAGGTCAAGTTGGGGGGGGAGGATAAAATTAAAAGTAAGTAATGGCAGAAGATGGAAATGATGGAATGCATGGGATTTAAACATCTAAGAACTGCAAACAAGCTTATCCCTCAAGCAGGCCCCTTCCAGTAGCTGCTGGAGCCTGCCCGTCTTAGCACGCACACTGGCCTTGTCTAACAGAAATGCTTTAGTTCTGGGCAATGGAGGACCCCTAGTGGCAAGTCCAGTCGGTCTATGAGTGAATGTTCAATTAAACTAGTGCGCCTCAAAGCCAACTTTGCTGTCAGAAGAGGGCCAGAGGAGGCTCCCCTTTTATATTTTAGCTAGGCAGCAACTAACAGGCTCCTGGGCTGCTATGTTTGTCCCTCAGTCAGAACATGGAAAAACCTGTCATAGGCAGAGAAAAGATGAAGAACACAATGTCACATCTTTGAAGAAAAGTAACTTATAAAGTCCACTCTTCATGAAATCATACATTTTAGGCTGACACTGTAAAACAACTAAAACCAAAACCTGCCACCTTCACTCCTTCTCCCCAACCAATGACAAAGGATTTATTTGTTGCTATGGAATCATTCCACTGCATGAGACACCCTCCATACAAAAATCAAAGGGTGAAGGATGCTCAGCTACGTTAGTTGTTTTACCATCATTCAGAAGCCAACTGTAGTTTAATTCTTCCTACTTCTCCCTTTCTCCCTTGATTCAATTGGACTTGGTTCATCTTTGAATTAACCTCTTTTAATCCGTTTCCTACAAAGAAAGCAAATCCATTGTGGGTAACTAGCTCTGCTGCGCACCACCCAGCAGTGAAACCACAGGGAGGCACGTGTGGCAGCCTCGGCCTGCATGGGGTGGACACAGCAGATGCAGCCTGGCACTACAGTCTCGAGCTCCTGTTTGGTTCTCTGCAGTAGTGTTAGTCCATGTTCGTGCGATGCTGAGTGAACTCATGCCAACACACTGCTAGTAAACAAGACAGCTCTGGCTACTGTCTTAAGCCACTACCAGGAGGGCTTAAGGTGGCCAAAATGAAGGTTTAAAAGATGAATTGAAATTTCGTTACATTCTGATAATGGTAAATTTTGGTTCTTGCCATCCTAATCCATTAATTTGCAAATATTCATAGGATCTCTGCTATGTGGCATGGCAACGTCCCAGAAGCTAGAAGAGGGCAATGGTACTCTTTATGTGTCAACTGCTGACCTCGGAATCTAATGCTTACCCTGGATAGGCGGGGATGGCTGTTGGAGGTACCGCTCGAACTGCACCATAGACCGTCCGCCCTCTGCCCCTCAGGTGGGCTCCTCTGAAAGCGGCTGCCGTGGTGGCTGCAGTCGGGTAAGGGAAGCCAGGAACTAAAGGGAGACCCAAAATATGACAGAAATGTCAATTTGCATTCACTGACATTCACACAATTGCAGCTTGCCTTTAGCAAATTACAGGAAGACGAAAAGATGTGGACCACGTCTTTTCTGAAAGTGTAATGGAGAGACCGAGACCCTATAAAGTAAATGACCCTGTTCCTCACTCATTGGTGAGTTTTCAGTGAGTTTTCTCTGCTCCTTCCCTGTTTCTGGCATTGCAATGCAAGACGGTGAGAAATGGGGCCAAGCAGCTGAGAAATGTCATAGTAAGAGATAAAAATTTTAATTTCTGTAAGCAGCTTAAATCAATTGATAGAAACTCTTTAACTGGTCCGCTATTAATCTTGTTTCCAAACATGGTAAGCATGTGATATTTATTCTTCATAAGGATGTTCTTTTGTTATTACATGGTGCCAACCTCCAAGGAATATGTAATCTTTAGATATTTCATTTCATTAACCTCTTTAATTTTTTTATCCAAAAATGTTTGAACCCAGAAAACAAGGCAAGAGGAAGACACTCCCTCCACGGTCATGCATCCTTCCAGTGGCAGACACTTTCTCGGGTCTATTCTAAGAGTGTTACCCTTTGGAAAGCAGGCAGAGACACGGATTCCATCTCCACTGAACTCTGCTTAATTATACCTCTTGCTGGGGCAGAACAACTCAGGTCAAAGAGTTTTAGAGATAGCAGCAGAGCTGAGAGTGATCGATAACACCGCAGGTCTTCAGAATGACACTCTACTGGAGGCCCAAATGCTTACAGAGAATACGTATCACGTACTTCTTTTGCTTTCCTGATTATCAAGTGCAGTCTGAAATGTTCTTCGCACGCTCTTAGCCCACATTCGAAATTTCAGTCACTCATTATACCCGGGGAGAAACAAACCAACCAGCATGTCACTGCTTACTCGGCAACAGTCAGAATCCATGCCGGGCCAACATAGGCTACTTACTGATTAAAGGAATGTAAGTGTTGATGCCCCCTCTTCCTGACAGGGGCACTGCAGCATCGTTGCCTAGGGACACATCTGCTTGAAAGCTGGAGGCTGAATGCATTAAAGATAATAATAAAGATTACAATGGAAAATAGAAAACCAAGAAAGTCATAGGTGTTGTTATAGTTCAACAACAAAAATGGAAAAATTAAATACTACCTGCATATAACTCAGGGCCATACACAGCTCCCACAACTGGGCTCAGTTTCCAGCCTGGAATGGAAGTGAGAACAACGAACATTTAAGATGGCACGAGGAGAACCGGGGAATGGCGCATGGGTGGCCTGGACTTCTCCGGGTGTCTCCCAACCTCTCCTTAGAATGCCAGCTGAGGTGTGATACGAAAGGGTGGTGCTATCTCCTGACCTCACTACCTGATTGTCTTTCACCATGACCAGACGGTGAAGGGACACTGAGGGCTAGGGACAGGATAAAGTTGGGGGCGAGGAAGGAGGAAATTATGAAGGTAGGCGTTGGAGAGGGAATGAGGAGGAAAAATAAATATGACAAAGCCTGGGCTTTGGCAGAATGTCTCACAAGATTGCTTAATGATCTATTTTTTGTTTAGAAAAAGTAAAAATGGTGAACTAAATGCCACTCTATAGCACACTATGACGCACTTTTTCTTACACACAATCTAAGTGAATGCTACTGTTCTGATCTGCTACATGAAGCTGCACTTTGAGCTCAAAATTTACCTGCATCTTTGACTCCATAATCAATTACACCACAGTGATGGTGTTCAACACCGAACTTCCTCTGTTGGGATTTCACAAGTGCTAACCAAGTCAGTGAAGAAAGACAGGCCCTTAAAATCCAAGCTCCATCCCCGGCTTCAGTGCACGGCCTCTGGGTTCCCACTTGTGATGCGCAGTTAAGTTAACCAGCCTTTCTGGCTAAAAGACACTAGTGGCTATTGCATATCAGCTTAAATATTTATAGATTTGAAGTACTTCCAAACATTTGGCTTGATGTCAATTTTATTCAATCCCCATTTTATATTTACAGGAATACAGCAAATGTTAAATAAAGAAAATGTGCTACTGCCCACTGATGAAGGTAGAATTCCACATGAAAACTTTAAACAACATTTATTTAGTTTTATACATAAGTAAGCAAACATGCCCGGTTGTTTTCCTGAAAAACAGGCTCTCTGGCTTACTTTTTGGTATTGGATCAAGGCTTTCACACTGTGCTACTGCTAGTCTATAAATACATGAATGGAAATAAGAAAAGGCCAACTGTAGACTGAAATGGCTACAGGCAAGACATTATTTGAGAAAAAAGCCCCTGATCCCGAAGCAATCCAACCACTGTTCATCATTTTGTGTATTCATAGGTGGTTGTGGTCTCTTCATTATTCTATATAAAAGTTAGGCAAATATGGGTTCAAATCCTACTGGAGCACATTGTAAGACTACAAATATTCTACAATGTCAGATGAATCAATGATTCCAACCAAAACACAATTTGATGCTGAGAAATCAGAGAAGGCCGCTTGCTTGTCTGAGAACACAGAACACAGGGCTGGCAGGTTCCTCAAGTAGGGCCCCACTAGGCTTGAGTATTTATTTAGTATTGTATTCGAAATGACCTTTCCCCATAGCACTACTATGTAAGTGCTCCCTTTAAATGGACCACCTTATAATAATGGCACATAACGGTCTGCTGTAAATAACACTTGGGATGTGTTCAGTTCTGGACAATGACCTTCACAAAGCCCAGTGTCAGAAAAGACAGACACCAGGTCTGGGACAATGAGTAAGTACCAGGCTTCTTTGGGCTTCATTTTCTGTATAATAAGCTAAGAGGATTGGGTTCGGATGGCTCTTAAAAGAGCGTTCTGGTGCTGAATTACTGTGACTGCCAACAGAGATGAAAACAGAGTCAGAGAGGTTAAGACATTGGCTATTGTCATAGAGCACAATGAAGAGTCAATTCCAGAAGCAAAGTCTCTAAATGCCAGTCAGCAGCTCTTTCTGCCACACCATTTCCCCTGGATCTGAAGGAAGCTTGCCTGTACTTTGCCTCCTCCTTGTTTGTTTACACTGGGTTTTTATCAAAATGACAGAAACTACTGTGGCCTTTTATTCTTGGAGATCTGTTTGCATTTTTCCTTTTATTATTATTTTTATTGAGGTTAGATTGTTTTACAGGGCTTTGTTTTGCAGAGAAGAGAGGCGGCACTGCATTTGATTCTAGCACCTCTTTAAAAAGCTGGGCTCAACAGATTCATGGGAGATTCTGTGGGAAATGTTAAATGACTTAACACACTGCCAGCACACACTGTTATACTCTACCAGTACAGCTAAACTTAAAAAGCAGGTGAAGCTCCCCTTTAGTTCCAGGTAAAATATCAGGCAGAGCCCTAAATATACTGCACAGAACAGAGCCACGCAGCCGAAGGAGAGAGGAAGTGCGTGGGGAATCCAGTGGGCTGGGTGCTTCCCAGGCAGCCTCACCGAGTGGAACCTGCGGAGTCCGGCGGATTGACGTTTTATTTACAGAACACAAGTCTTGGCTTCTTTAGAGAATATGAGTCTTGATTAAATTTGACAACTGATATGAGAATTTTTTTCTCAATGAGAAACCCAAAATTTACTATATGACATGTGCTCATGAGGTAGAAAACAGAACACATGTATACCTAACCTTTAAAAAGAGAGCAAGGAGCCAAGAATGGGTCAGCAGTGAGAACCGGTGCTTGCAGGGGTGCTCTGGACAAACCCAGCGCACCACTAAGACCTACGGCAGCCTACAGGGAAGGTGCCTGAGTGGAGAGGTAACGGGTTAAAAGTTCACTTTTAAAAATAATATATTCCCCAGGTAAGGAAAATGCCCTGCTGTATAAATGGAGCAAGCTACCCTAAGATTAAGATCTAGAGAGGCTGGGAAGCTCCTTGACTCGGAATAAAGGACAACCTCCTGAGGGGGGCAGCCTCTTACCGTTTGCATACGGCGTGACCATCTTCTTATTGGTCATTACACGTGCTGTAGCGTTATTCACCTAGAGGCACACAGTAGAAGGGGCAGGGAGGAAGAAAACCACATTAGGGAGCATGAAGTTGCTCGTCCAGTAACACAGTACTCAATTCAAAACGTAATTTTCAGACAGTGTTGATTTATGTAATTAACATAGCAATATAATCAATATATCGATTTTAATTAAAGTGTTTATTAAATGAGGCTAACAGAGTGAAATGCAGTTTCTTGTTCTCCAGATGGAAAACTGGGGCCACGTCAGCACCCTGGAGGACTCTTACACAGAGCCGTCTCAGCATTAAAGGGAGAAGGGAAACAACTGGAAGCCACTGTGCACATGAACCTGAAGTTCATGACTAAAACAGAGGCTCAGTGCATGGGTCAGATAAAGGATGACAGGAAGGCAAGAAAATAAACCTGTGGATTTCATCTGTTCTAATATTCTATTTCTATACCTGCATATGATTTTACTGTTTGAGGCTAATCAACAAATGTAAAAACTGATTCCCATGTTGACAGTCTTCAGGACCATTTTTCTAGACTGTTAGTCTATTAGTTTATGAATAAAATGTTCAGCAGGCCTTTAAATTGGGCACTTAAAAGAACTGGGGAAAAAGATAAAGCTCACATTTTTTCCTGTTTTCCAATGCTCTCCACCCTCATTACAGAACAGGGTCACTCGCAGCCCTTGCAGTGAGATGAGGGGCGTTTGTGCCTCTCTGAAGTCTGGCTTGCAGGTCAGGATGCCAGAAGTAGACCCCACAGCTCCGGCCAGGAAGGTGGGGCCTCACTCAGAACCTGACTGTGGGCTGTGCCGTCAGTCACACAACAGACTGGGCTTTAAATGAATTACAAAATATATAAAATATAATACTAGGTGCCTCTTGGAATTTACATTATATTGAATTCATAGTGATAAATTTATGCTATGAAAAGATCAATTTTAGCTAGAATTGGAACTAAAAAAGTCTTTTAAGACTTGTACAGTGAAAATATTTCCATGTGAGAACTTGAAACTCCATTTACTCTAGTTTGCCCACCAAATAATAGAACAAGTTCACACTTAAAAAGAAAGAATGGGTATAACAATGATGAGACTGAGAGCATGCAGTCAAAAAACACACACACACAAATAAAAGAAAAAAACCAAGTTGAGAAAGAGAGGAGAGAGTGAAGAGCGAGGCTCACAGACAGGCTGGATGGGGTGGGGCTTCTGACACCAGCTGCGGGGGCAAAAGCAAGCACGCAGGGCCAGGGGCCAGAGCCAACCAGAAACCACCAGTCAGCGAGAGACCAACAGCTTGCAGAGACCCAGAGAGGGCCGGAAGGAAGGAGAGAGGCTGGGGAGAGGCTGGGGCGGAACTAGAGTCAAGGGAACAAAGGGGTGGGAAAGGAAAGGAAGGCCGGGAAGGCCACGCTGGGGAGAGCTGGGGAGAGTTGGGGAGAGAGCTGGGGGCACCGAGCAGTCACAGTTACCAACAGGTGGAGGAGGGAGGAAGAGGAGGGGAGGGAAGTGCATTAATAAAACCAGCCAGGCTGGAGTTCAGTAACTCTGAGTAAGATGTGCAAGGGGAAAAATCACCATGGCAGTAATGTCAGTACTCAAACGGCTCAGGCTGCTACAAAACAATGTGTACATCCAAAGTCCAGGCGCATTACTCAACAGCACCGAAAATAATGGGGAGGGAGAACGAGGAGGAGGACAAGTCAAATCACATTTTAGTGTTAATGTGAGATGGCAGATGGACTTTTTCTCTTATTTAATTGTTTTGTATTACATTTTAAAAGCTGCTTCTCCAGTGCTTTGTGTCACTTACCGCCAAGGGCACCAGCGCCAGCTTTGTGTGTATTACCATGGAAAGAGAGGGTCAAGTGAAGGGCCCTAAATGCTAAACCATCGGAAAGGGAGGGGGAAAAAGCAGAATATGCAGACATCTTACTCAAAATAGTGGCTTTTATATTTCATACTTTAAAAAGACTGGGCACCAAGGGAAAGGAACCAGTTAAGCTTCACTGCAGTCTTAAAGAGGCCTGGCGGAGACCAGGGCCACGCATTCTCAGCCAGCCACCAAACCCTTGCTGGAGCAAGTCGGCCATTAACTACTGAAATTCTTGGCATTAAATATACTTTAAAACTAAATGAGTTTTGGAGCCCCTCCCACCTCCCCACAAGTTCTACAATCTTCTAGGTCTGGTTTATCACACCCCCATGGAGGCCGACTGCCTCCCAGGACAAAGAGGGCATTGGCTGGTCCCTTGATTCATAGGATACAACGCTAAAATGGATGGTTTCCAGACATTTTTTAAGAATTGGTTTTATTTTGGCCTGATCACAGAAATTCAGAGTCTCGCAAACTGAAGCAAAGGAAAAAAATCAAGAGAGCAGAAGGATGAATATTTTGAAGGAGGAAAAAAGTAAATGAAAAACAAATACACACACACACACACACACGTGAATCAAAATTAAAACCCCCAAGCAACCGAAAAATGGAGGAGTATAGAAGTGTTAACTTGTATACATTTTAGTGCAAGGTGAAGGACACGGACACACATACACGTGTGCACACACGCAAAGACAGGGCCCAATGTGAAGTGAGGCAATACACAACAAGAGAAACAAAAACATAAACCAGAAGTTGAATTATTGAAGACATGCACCTCGATTTTACGGCCCTCTACCACGGTGCCGTGTAATTTCTCCCTGGCCCTGTCTGCATCAGCACTATTCTCGAAAGTTACGAACCCGAATCCCTGCATGCAGCGGGAGAAGGGGGGAAAACATGCACATCGTTATATTGAAATACTGATCTCTTGACACACAAAGAAAAAATATCACAGTCTGAAACTGAATCAGCAACAACTCAGCAATACTCTCTCCCAAAGTCACATTTTTGGTCCATGCATAGCTTGTAAAGGGAAATTAAATCCAATAAAAGAATAAAGAACTGTGGTAGTAGTGATGATGTGATGATGATGATGATGACGAAGATGATGATAATAATAATAATAGGACTAACAACAATAATAAACTGAAACATAAGCATGTGAGGCCAGACCAAAATGAAGGCAAGAGTTACTCGGGTCATTCAACCAAGAATTGGAGCATTTTTAATGTTCTACTTTTTGTTCTCAGTTCCTGTTGTTAATATACTGTCCTTTTCTGGAATAGTAAAAAACACTATGTGAATGCTCTGACATCTCAAATCTATTATTTCCCAGTAATTTCTATGTGTATCCTAATATCTTGCTGCCATGACTGTACCATGAGATTATGTCCAAGGAAGTAGTTATTTCAGCCCCCCTGTCCCTGCGGCGGGCATCACTGTTACTTCCTTCAGGGTGGGGTAATTGAGAGTCATGATGTCTAGCTCTGTAGATAGTGGGGGGGGGGGGAGCACACTCATGTCATCTAGGCACAGGAAGATGTCACTAAGCAGGGGTCAATGTCATTTTTTTTTTTTCATAGAAGAACTAGGGTGTGGGCCAGAGGTGGGGGTAGGGGATGGAGAGGATTCACCAAAGATTGGGGAGCAGAACAGGATTTTGCTGAAATAACTGCTGAGGGGAGCAGTGGGTGAGACCAAGAGGTCTGCTGCTCCACGTGGGTCAGCTTCCTTGCCAGGAATGGAACTCAAGTGTTAGCAGTGGAACATAGAGCTTTAACCCCTAGGCCAGCAAGGAGGTCCCCAATGTCAATTTCAAGCAATCATACCAACTAAGTAAAAATATGTTCAGCTGAATTTCAGAAAACGGCATACCGAAATAACACACCTGTTGATGCCTACAATGCTATTAGATGTATTAGTTTTCCATAAAGAGAAAAAAAGGAATAGCCAATCGGTCATGGTAATGGGAACAGTATCCAACGCACAGGAAAGGTACACAGTTCACAGCAATGCAGCCGCTGTCCTAGTTAGGGATGATCTGTGTGTTGTAGATGATTAAAAACAAAAACAAAAACCCACGGAGCTTTAATGTCAAAAGTTAAGACTGCAGAGAGTACAGAGTTAAATCTACTTTATTCCTTTGTTCACACTGTGTCTGATGTGGGGTCCAGGATCATACCATCATTTTCAACAGTAATTATTATGTACTAACATGACCATTCCATAAAGCACTCTATCAGCTTTATTCTAGATGCTTTGTCTTTCTACTCTGCAACTACAAAGTTTTCTCGAGCCATCTGTAAAAGTGGCAGATCCTTAGAATTTTCTGGGAAATTTCTCATTTCTCAAAACCTTCATTATGATTCCTTTAGAATTCTTCTAGTATTCCATTATAGGACAAACTGGAGGCCTTTATTTTTAGTGAAGTTTTGCTTTGTTACTTAACACCTGTATGTACAAAACATGTTCTTCTCTAAGATGTTATGAGGTATGTATTGCTCAGTGAGGTTTTCTAAAAGCATCTCCATCATTTTGAAGACTCTGATCATTCTAAAAGAGCATAAGGTCAGAAGTTTCAGAGGATTCCAGGTGATCATCTCTAACCTCTATGTACCATCATAAACACCCCAGAAAGTGCAATGCTAAGCTGCCAGAAAATTTCAAATGTATGCTGCTTGGGATGGAATATTATGGGTAATGTTTAAAGTATGTGAAGATTTCCACGGGAATACATTTGCAGAAACAGATGTCAGCATCCCCACGCTGTAGTCTCTCTGCCAGTTCCAAGAGCATGAGGGTCAATTACAGCAGCTGTCATCAACTCTGCCATCTAGAACACAGGGAGCCAGATTCCAATGCTGGAGAATCCTCCAATGAGACAGTCTAACCTTTTAAGAAAGGTCACAGGTTGGGATGAGTTTTTACATCACATTTTAGAAGTGTTGTAAACTATTCAGTTGATTCTTACAGTTTCTTACATTTTATGCCTTGGATTAAATGAAAAAATTATAAATTAGTAGTTGGATAACAATTTATATGGAGACTAATAGCTAGGTTTTTAATTTTAGCATTATGACTGTAACTACACACTGTCATATGAACATACTTGTTTGTTTTTTAATATAACCACAGGGCACAAAGGACAGATCTGGTTTAATTTTGAAGGTAAAGAAATTGAGTCGAGTTGAGGCTAAGTACCACAGCATCCATAAGGACCTCCTTCCCTGTAGCTGCTTCCCAAGCTCCAGAAACGAGAAATGAAATGTCAGTTCGTATTCTATTTACTAAGCTACATTTATCCTAAAATTCTCCTAATTTTATTTTTCAAGCCTAAAATGTTCTGTGACCCTCCTTTCTGGAATGTGCTGACAGAACATCTATGATACAGTAACTGCACCCAGAATACAGCAGGACTGCATCATAAGCATTGACATTTTACAGTCAGTAAATGCTACAGCTTAACTTTAATGTCTACTCATTCAAGATTTTACCAGTAATACTTTAATATGCTGGAGCAAAATTTCATTTTCAAATGCTTTATGAACTATATTTTTTAAGTAAAGAAAAGTGCTTGCACATCAAAGGAAGTGCTAACTCAGATAACCAAAGATACAATTTAGCAATCTTTACAGACATATTTACCTAGGGTAAGAGGAAGATGGCCTTATTGATACTGTGGGCCTTTCTGAGAAGTAACCTAGAGACAAGAGGATTTCTTTTTTTCCTTTGCAGATTATTAGGCCTTTAGGTAGGAAAAATAATGGCGTCCCCAAAGCTAGAAATGTCCTCATCCCTGGAACTGAGTATGTCACCTCACATGGCAAACGGCTTTTACAAATCTGATGGGAGAGTATCCTGGATTATCCAGGTGGGTCCTGTGGAGTCACAGGGAGCTTAGATATGAAAGGGAAGCAGGAAAGTCAGAATCACACTGCAGCAGCCTGAGTGGGTCTGCCTTGGCCACTAATGGCCTTGAAGATGGTGGGAGTGACAGGCCAAGGAAGGCAGGCAGCCTGGAGAAGCTGGAAAAATAAAGGAAATGGGTTACTCCCTAGAGTCAACTGAAGGCGTGCCACTCACTCCATCTGGGACCCTTGGGCTCCAGAATTGTGTGAGAACAGAGCTGGTGGTGCTCAGTCAGCAACAGGCAATTAAAACATGCCTCTGAGAGTGAATGAATGTGAGTTGGAAGGTAAGAAATATAATCAGCATTCTATGATATTGTTCTTAAATACCTTTTTATAATAATGAAACTTTAAACAGGTGATTTCCCGTCAAATTAATTCAAGCTTGCTTGTCACATTTAAAATTCGATTTCAAGAATATTACTGCAAATAAAGCTTACAATTTTTAAAAATATACTATTTCTTCAATAAACATTTAGCACTTAGAAAATGTGCATGGAGACAAACTCAAGCTATTCAGATATTGAGGTTAAAAAAATTCCTAACAGGAAAATAGGTTCACATGAGATGATCTTTTACTGTATTTTCATTCACATTTTAGCTTGGTCACTATAATCCCTTGCTTTGAAAATGAAACTAAAAATTGTCTACACTAACACATTTTCCTTAGGTGAGCTCCCATATGGTCATATATCAGACAGGAACATAATAATCCATCTGAATAGCTACAAAATCAAACTAAGATTTAATCTCAAACTCTTAACAAGTATTGAAAGCTAAAAAGACATAAAAATATTTTTATTAAAAAATGATGTCATTAAATTTAAGAAACCTTTAAATAAATGTAAATAGCTAAAAATATCATGTTTGTCCACAGAAGTGCTGGCAGAACTGTAACTTCAACCACATAGTTTCACCAGTCACAGTAAAAAGTAGCAACAGGTAGATGTAATTATAATACTGCATTTTACCTAACCCAAAGAAAACAATATGCCAGCATTTCAACCTGGCATCTGCACAAAACGCCAGCGAGATGGCCCATATCCTTCTTTGGTGGCAGCCTCGGATGCTGACATGTGGCTTGGAATCTGATTGCGTCTCCCGTCAGACTCGCTGCACTTCGGGTCCTCAGCGTGGCCACTGCAGTCGAGGCTGCAGGCCTCTATACTGCAAGCTTTCAGCCCAGGCTCTGAGCACCCAAATCCTTCCACTTTAATAACTCAAAACAGCAGTGTCAGACAATGATTCCCCACTGGCTTCTGGCAACTGAGGCAGGTGTGTCTGGCAGGAGTAAGGTTGTGGTGGAAGCTTCTAGCAACTGTGACAGCAACTTTATCACCTGCCTTAACGGTTAGCATCAAACACATCTAGGAGCCGAGTAACTGTCACCTTTTCAGTCTGGCCTCAGACTGCAATAAATAACAAGCAATAGAGTGAGCACTGTAAAAATATTTTTTTAATTTGTATAATCTTTGAATTTTTCCATCTCAGAAGAATGAGAAAGAAAATTTACCATGTAACTTTTAAGGGAGAAATCAAAAGCAGACGGTTCTCCTGGGTATGGCCAGAACACAGAAATTAAAAAATAAATAAAAGAAAAAGAAAACTAAAACCCATAAAATGGTAACAAAAGAAAATAAGCTAAGCCCTTTGGAAATACATGCACTGTTAATTCAGTTTTAAGTATAATGAAAAACATTTCACAGTAGCATTACCTACCATATTTTACTGAAAATCACAAAGGGCTACTTAATGCAATTTCAAAGATAAGATTTTGATCATATTTTGAAAGAAATAAAATAATTTCCCTTTGCATGAAATCAAGTCAAGGAAATTCACAAGAAATTATAGCACATTACTCGCATCTGCGGAAAGGGAATAGAGGTATTATCTTCCCTAACTCCAGCTGAAATTTAAGTCTGACACAAACTCAATTCTCTTGTCATTCCAGAAATCCACCTGAGAGAAGTAATGAGAACACATTAACTAAAAATTGGCTAGAAATCCCCGTAATTGTTGCTATACGCTATTTCTGGTTGGCTAGGGGACTTAATAATTGGCACAGAACAGGTGATAAACTTTTATGTATTCAGTATTTAGAAAACATGTGCCTTGATCTATACCTGGAGTATTTTGACAAAACCTAATGAAAAACACAAATGTTAGAAACTGTGTATTTTACTGTTTAACAAGCTTGATAATACCACAAGCATATTATTATGAGCCTGGGTGGTGAACAGGATGGTAGGAAGTCTTAAGTTCAACATTAGAACAAACCTTTAAAACATAAATTCTCAGCTATCAAAGTATCTAGCAGAGAAAGTCAAGTCAAGAGTACTTAGGATTCGAACGACATGACCACTAAGTAAAGCTCTGTATGGGGAAGAGCCAGTATGGGGAAAGGGACCAGGAGGAGATGGATGAGAAAGCCGGAGCAAATTCTGGTTAATGAATGATGTGCTTCATTTGCCTACTTCTCAGTAAGCATCCTGTTTTCCTTTTATAATGATTTTGAGATGGGTGCTTTTCAAAAGCTTTTACTCAAAGGAGAATGACAATATGATTGATTGCTTTTATTTTTTAAATTAGGAGAACTCTGAGGGAGAAAGGAGAAATGATGAAACAATTATGCCGAAACAACAGGTGTAACTTGATTTATCCGGGATAAGCCAGGGCACATGACCACTCTGCCTATACATATTCTTATGGGCATTTTTCTAGTCTATTTGAGGGCATCAGCTAATCTTTGGTAGGGGTGCCACTTTTTACCATGTACCCTAATTGTACATTTTTAAAAGGATAGTATGCCTTTGTTTCAGTCACAGAAAACTAGATACAGCTGATTTTGTTTTTACCAAGGAGAGGGAAATAGGTTTTTTTTTTAATCATATGAAATAATTTATATAATTTATATATAAATAATACATATTCATTCCAAATCCAGAATATGAATGTCAAAGAAGAAAAAAATAACTATTTTATGGAGAACAAGTCTCCTCTCCAGACGAGCTGGATGAGGTATGGGCAAGCAGGGACAGGGCAGAGTGCTTCACTTGCACTTTTTTTTTTTTAGGTTTTTATTTATTTATGCATAACAGAACTCAGGTACAGACCAGAGGTGCAGGGGCGATGAGAGGATTCACCAGAGACAGAGTGGGGAGCAGAAAAGGCCGACTGACTAAGCACAGTGCTGAGGGGAGCAGCGGGCGGGTCAGGAGAGGTCTGCCGCGCCATGTGGGTCACCTCTGGGACAGGCGGGGATTGAATTTATGCTGAAGTAGCTTTAGCTTCTTAGTGTTGTGCTTTAATCTGCTGCACCACTAGGGAGGGCCTCCCTAGCACTTTTAAGCGGGAATACCAGAAAACCCTGGCCAACAGTCTCACCATTAAAAAATCAGACATTGTTTCTGAGCCATTTGATTAAGTATTGTTTTACATGTAATTACCTATCTGAGAAATACTTTGTGGCTAGTTTTTTCATTACTCCTCTAAAATGAAATTCAATAAAGTTAATTTCTGTAGTGAAAAACACTCTGTTTAAACACTGAGCAACTCTCAACTAAACTGACCACGTAAATCTCCTTTTCTCTGGTTCCATAAGACATGTAATTTTATAGTCAATCCCAAACATCAAAGAACTTAGAAATGTAAAAACTACATTAAAAGAAGAAAAGCACTCATTAATTTATCTCAGGTGGATGCACAACAGAGACATCTAGATTTTGACTCTAAAATAAGTCTCTATTATGAGTCTCAGACTTGTTCCAGAGAACCCATTCCATCAAAAACTTGAGGTAACAGCTAAGAAAGCAAAGGATGAAGCTAGGTTTTGTGCCAGTTCCTGAAGGTAGATCCAGGACAGCCCTGGTCTGTGCTTTGTTTTGAAATATTACCCAACTAGCACATACTCTGTCTACTCTCTAGCAGCCCAAACATAAAGGGGCAGGGAGGACACAGGGGAAGCTGAGGGCAGCACATCATGCTCTTACATCCCCAGAAAAGGCAGGCTTGTGTCGTCTTAAATGAAGATTGCCGGGGAGATGCCATGGACCTGGATAAATTTACATTTCCTGTCCTAGGTAGATTTTTGAAGTCAATGAAAGAAGCCTTGTTAGAAAGATCAATTTTCTTTGCTTCACAAAATTCAACCACCTGATTTTTTGGTAAGGATTAAATCCTCAATGCCTGATGGAATTATACTGGGCTTCTGGTTAAAAGACTAGAGTCTAGTTAAGAATATTTTAAGTGCATACACTTACAACCAAAACCACTCAAATGATTACTTTAGATAAACAGCAAGATCACTCATCTTCATATATTTATTTTATATTCATGTGCTCTTATTTCTAAACCACTGTCATTTTTCCATCTTTTATTAAAAAGGGTCACCAAAAAATTAAAGAAATGATACAACAAGGTAACAGAAATCCAGTGTGAAGAAATTACAAGCATAAACAGTTTTACAGGTTAATCTGAAAAAAAAAATATATATATATATAGATATATATACACATATATATCACTTTAAAAATACTCACCAAGTTAAGTGCTGGAGAAAGTTCTGTATAGGCATATTAATCTTTTTTGTGTTAACTGAAAACTGGAAGCTTTGAGTATAACTATCTCCTTAATAATTAAAAAATGGTTAATAAAGCCAGAATAAACCACTTTTAGAGAGAGTGCACTCTACGAGGAGGGAGCAATGGCTCAGGAGCATCCGGCCAGCGCGCGCCCGTGCAAGTCTGGGTGGGACGGGAGGCGCATAAAGCTGTAGGTGCATGCTGCTGATGTCCAAAGTGTGATGGATTTGAGATAGGAAACTGAAGAGAGGTAGATATTAACTCATTTCTTACTTTATTTAACTTTTCTCAAGTTACATAATCTCAAGAGATTAATCACAGCCAACAGCTATTTTTAAAATTCAGTAGAAATGATAAATAAAAATAATTAACAAAAACTTGTCTAACTTGAAAATGCAAGTAGAGCAGAACACTGCAGGTATTTTTTACAAGGAAGGAAAAAATTTTGAAAAGTCTGGTCACAGATGATTGTGTTTATGGGGTGTATTTCATTTGTTAAAGAAGAAAATTTTACAAAAATCAATTTAACAAATATTTTTTCATACCATTCCAATACTTTGCTATTCCCTCATTCCTAAAAGCACTACTGCTTATTTTAATGCATTAAAAAATTTAAAACACAAAACTTGGGAATTTAAAATGGTAAATGGTTAGGTGAAAATACATCTTAATTGAAACTCTAGTTCTTATGCAGAACGCACTGAGAAGAGAATACATCTGTGAAATCATACACTTTTACTAATTTCCTAAACAGAACATCTCACTCACAGTATTTGTCTGAAGCGACCCTACAGTCTGCAGTCTACCTACCCGAGTAGAGCTAACGGAAGAACTCAGTTCTCAGAGAATTCCTGAGTCACAACCACTGCATGTAAGCCTCATTGGAATACAAGGGAGTGAGCAAATCAGCTGAACAACTGAAATATTTAGTTTTCAGTATGTCATTTCAGCATTCAATTTTCAAATTGTTCTGACAGAATTCAGGACAGAATCTCACTTTTCAGTCTTCTCTCTTCCTTTTAACCATCTCGGGTCAAGTCTAGATCCTAAGATTGTCTCCTACATTCTCCCTTCCTTACCTACACCCCTCCTGTCAAACTTCTCTCGCTCTATTCCCAAGCTCTCCCAACTTAAGTATTAAAGTTTGGGCATGTGATAGTTTATTTTTAGAGATAATCTCACTCAAGCTAGACAGCTGGGATACTTTTCGTAGGCTTGAAAAACAGCTTAAATGTTCTGATCACTTACTGTTTTAAATAAAACTAAAAAGAAACCACGCACATTTAATACTGAAATGGAGCTTACCTTTGAGCCACGTTCATTAAAGATTATTTCTACATCTAGGATTTTGCCAAACTGCTGCAGAGACAAAAATAAAAATTATTTATCTATGGTTAGCATTTTAGCCACATACATGGATTTTTTCTTCTTTAAACTACTTATTGAACTTCCATGTTTCAACCGGTTTGTAGTTCCCAAAATCAGTTTCTGGTTTTCTTTTCACCAAACTGATAATTTCGCCTTTCCTACCAGTGGAAACTGTTTTCAGAAGCTAGTCAATGGATTTCAAGCCAGACTTTGGAAAATGTAAAGAATGAAAAGAACAAAACAGAATCATGCTTTTTCAATGGGTTGTGTCATTACTATCTTCATCAAAAAGGATGTAAAAGAACCCAGTGTTTCTAGACTATGCCTTCTGGGCTTGAGGCCAGTTTTATCATTTAATAGAAAATGAGAAAAATCAAGGCAAGAAGAAAATGTCTTTTCTAAGGAAGGTATTCTAATTTTATTTCTACACTTATCCCATTGCAATATAAATCTGCAGGGTGTTTTACGAGTTTTCTCGTCTATTTCCCAATGCACTCTTACAACATCCTTCCAAAAGAAGGTTACTTTCCTTTTATGGTTAAGGAAAATGAGGCCGAAAGAAACTATTCATCAAGTTTACAGAGCTAATAAAATGGAAATAAAACGGAGCATGGAATCCCTCTCAACCACACTGCTGTCTCATAAGTAACAGGAATTAATCATGTGCAAGAAAACAGCAGCAGGTATCCCTTTAGGGTTTTTCTCCCACCTAATACCTATACAAAGGGCATACAGAACATTTCGAGAAGTCACTGGGACAGTTTGCCAGCTCTTCAAGGGGAAACTCCGCTGACAGATGACAATGTAGCCGCTTTTCTCAGACCCATAGAGTCTGAGAGTCCACATCATTTCTGATAGTTCAGGGGAGAACAGCATCACCACATTCCTGGGACATTTCTTCCTAAATCAACCTAAATTCTTTATACTGCCCCTCATCTAGAGAACAGGTTCAAGTCCTTCAAAAACCTCACTAAATCAAGCCTGGCCTTCTTCCTTTGTGGAAAATACCCCCAGAGAGTTATCAATAAGTGACAGAACTTTACCCAGGGCATTGTCACTACAAAGTGGCCACACCCAAGACTTTAAAGACTGACAGTCTTTTGGTTCTATCTCAAATTAAAGAGTCTGACCAAATTACAACAGGCAACAACACCTGGGTCCAAAGCTACAAAAGTAAGACTCGAAGTGGACAGTCACTTCCTAACGACTTAAATCTTGGCTTTTATGCTTTGTTTTCATGACCACGATTTCAGAAGAAATGCTGAAGGAGCGCGTTAGGGTCACAAGCAAACTTACCCTGACCCCTGATTTCAGATACTGCTCCTGACAGTTATGAGCAAGGAAGCAAAGCATTTGCTGTCACAGATATTATTTCATTTGATTCATAAGACTCTGAGAATTAGGGGTTGCTATCTTTTTCAGAGTTTTAGTGATGAGAGTCTTACATCTTAAGAAACCTCAGTACCGGCCAGCCAACAACAGGGTCAACCTTCAAGGCCAGTGCCTAGAATAGACTAGGCAATCGAAGCTTCTAAAGACTGACTAAAAAAAATATTCAAGGTCTTCTCAATCTATTTTTCCTTTTACCCTAAAAGTATGAATGACTAAGAACACACCTGCTAGATAAAACTGTATCTTAACTGTAAAACCCATAAAAGTGTGTCAGAGACTTACCCCAAACATCTGCCGAAGGTCGGGGTCCCGGAAGCGGAAAGGAATATTAGAGACATGCAGCCGTTTAGGGGTAGATTTACTCTCTGAGTTCTCACTACTTTGTGTCTGTGATGGCTGGCCGTCTGTCTGTGCGCCCCCTTCTGTCTGCTAGGCAAAGAAATAAACAAAATAAATGCAGTTAGTTCACAGAATTATATAAGCTAATTGAAATCCCTCCCACCCCAATCACTGTCAAGTGTGTCTTGAAGCAAAATTTACAGTTGCCCCTTCAAAGAGGAAAAAACAAAAGATGTTATGTATGTGTAAAATGCTAGAATCTACAAACAGCATTTTGGTCTTTGAATATGTGTAGTAAGTTAGCAAAACACTATGTGACTTACCTAAGATCACACTGGAATAACATTAGGCTAACAGAAGACATAAAAATACTACCATCATGCTCAGAGTCTTGGGGGAGCTTTCTATTTTTTGAGGTCTTTCCATTTCAAAGCAAAGTGTGTTGTCTGTCCTCAGTGGGGAGACCACTGTGTTTTTGGTTGACATTTCAGGAATGGAGGGAGTCTTTTCACATTTCATCCCCTCTATTACATTCAGTTCATGACTGCTGAGTTGCCAACGAATTGTTTATGAAGAGGAGACAGGAACAAAGGGCAGTGGCTTAAGATTTAAAGCAGCGTCTCACTCGGAAACCAATCTCTAGTCAATCTCTATCTATCTCTGGCTGAGGAGGGGAACTCATTCTTCAGTGGCCCAGAGCAAAGCTCCTTTAGGAAAACTGCTAGGTAAGGCTTTAAGGGCCCCTGACTAAAGCACACACAGCACAAATGCCTACACCCACAGTGGAAGAGAACAGGTGGGTATGTGTTTTCAAGCAGAACCTCTTTTGCAACATGTTCATCTAACTGGGTTTCATGAAGTCTTCAGGAAAGTTGCTATGTAGAGAAATACTTTTGACAAATACCTAACAGGGATGATACATTCTCTGCATTCAAAAAGACACTGATTTTGAAGTATTCATCTGGCAACTTAAGAACCCTATGCTTTGCTATTCTCTATGAAGTCGATGCCAAAGGGTGGCTCACTGAGCTGCTTAAACCAAATACTTTTAAAATAGGTGTGGGACTGGCTGTTCTTATCATCTCAGCTGCTCTACAATGAGACCCTAACAGGCTCCTCCAGTGACAGAGAATGAATTCTTCCTTTGGTCCAATGTTCAGCTAAAAGAAACTGAATCAGATATAGTTTTGGCTCAGAGATTTTGGCAACCAGCTTGAAGTGTGAGACTTTTTAAATATAAAGGATAATCAGAAATAAACTCTGAATGAATAACAGCTTTTCAAGTGTCAATCTACGTGATGGCAACTTCTATCTCATTCCATTCAGGCCTTGCAGATGGCTTCAATATGCAATGATTCATGCTATATAAAAATAGCAGCAAAGGGGAAAAGCTATGGAGCAGTGTTCTATGAAAGTGTAAGGGCTCCAATCACCAATCTCAGCAGAACGCAGGCTACACAAAACAAATTCCACTCAAAGATGACAATCACTAAGTTACTAAAACAGCATCACGGTCAGCAAAGCAAGAAGCAAAGGCATCAAATGCAACAAACACTCATTCAAACACCTTTAGACTCATCCGTTTCGTCTCACAGCTGGGTCCCGCAGAACTCACTCTTCAATCAAACTTTAAAAACCATCAGAACTGATGTGTGGGATGACAAGGCATCACTCTGAGACAAGTTAAAAACAAAAACCAAAATGATTCTAGCTCCAAACCAGTTTATAACGTAACGTAATGCAGTCCGAGCATGTGCAACACTGGCTGTCAGGCGGCAGGAGGATGAGCACTCACAGTCACGGCCAAGTGCGCTGCCTGAGGTTGAGGTGCTTGTTTCCTTTGAGTGGTTTCTGCTGCCTTGAAGACAACTGAAGTTGGAAGTCCAGTTTTGTTCATTTTCCAGCCTGGTGGTGAACACCTACACTTTTTAAAACTATGGAATCTTTAATTCCTGGGAGACTCAGCAAATGGAAAAGGTGAACTCCAACATTCTCAAGGCTTCTGATTTAACATCCATTTCTAAATGGAAATTTACCACGCTCGGCTATGGACGCACACATCACAAGCACACGGCTGCGTGGCTTCCCACGGGCGCTGCGGCCACATAACGCATCAGGTTAGAGCAAGCAAAGAGCACCAGGGGCATCCTCAGGCTTTGGCATCTCTGCTCCCCTGACAAAGGCTGCCCTCAACTCCAGAGTTGTTTTGTGTTTTTGAACTTGCGGAGGGGGGAAGAAATCACAGAACAAAACTGTTTTTCTGTCTGGTTTATTTTATACACCATATTTGTGTAACACACATATTACAATTTTCTATTCTTCCATTTATAAACATTCAGAATTTACTTGAGCTGTTAAGGGGTCACACCCCTCTGCATACTCAAGTTCCATCTACACCATATCGTGCGGTGCCCACGCACGTCTACACCTGCAGGCGGGGTTGCTGGGATAAGGGCGCTGAGCAGGTACTAGTGTTCCAGACACTCCCGGCAGCTGCATATGAAAACTGCTTTCTGTACTGTCGTTTCCATTTTAACTATTCTGGTGGGAGGCAGTGACTTCACAGGGTGGCTTTGTTTTCCTGCCTCTAGTCCTCAGATCCTTTCTTCTCTCCACTCAGAGTGCCTAAGTTTGAACACGGACAGCCTGGCACCAGAGTACATGTTCTTAATCACTGTGTGATGCTGTACTTTACATGTGTATGCTCTTCAATCTTCCCAGGGACTTGTGAGGGAGGCATGTTGAAGGGCCTCAGCTGACAGAGCAGCACAAAAAGGGTGAGCGAGTTGCCCCAGGTCACAAAAGAAGCGGCAGACTAGGACCTCAAAACTGGCAGCCATTCCCTGTGGTAAGCATGTCCTTCCTAGCGTGCTCCTGAACTCTGCTTCTCAGGGGACTGGAGAAGTTATGCAGAACCATCCTCTCTTCTCCAGGTGAGGCAGGCATGGGGATGCGCGGGACAGGGAAAACCACCGAGGGGACATGTGTTCTATGCTTTGAGGGAAGAGGAGCAAGACAGCCAGGAAGGGGAGGAAAAGGAAACAGAACCAGCAAAAGCACATTGACATTTACAAGGACTAAACACCAGAGAACTTCTGATTTGATGTCCATCAGGGCTGAAAAGTGGGTTTCTGTGTGTGAAGGAAACAGGAAATATACTGGCGGTAATTAAATGAGAGATTTCCCATCAGACATTCTTAACTTTAAACTTTTTTTTAAAAAAGCTTTAAAAGTTTTAAAAAGTTTAAAGTTTACTTTAAAGTAGACTACCAATTGCTGAAACAGACAAATCAGAAAGAAAAAAGTAAATGTTTTTATGCTCAATCTTGTGAAGAGGGGAGAGTTACATGTTCTGAGTAATCTGCCAACACAACACTGATTTGCAGTGTTTTCTACTGTTTGCTGTTAAGATACTCTACAGTCTGTATAAAGATCCCCCCAGGGTCTGTTTTCTCTCCATTGGTCATTTGTAGACCTGATTTCTTCACTGGGCAGGTGCTGGTGTGTCCTGAGATGAATGTGGGGTTGGGGGGTAGGGGTGTGTGTGGAGACAGACAGACACTGACTAAAGCCCACAGGTCCAGTCTTCAAGCCACTGTTTCCTAGTGAGTTGAGCTACCAGCCAACAAAAGCCCATAGAGTAAGTCAAACTATTAAGTCTCAATGCCCCATTCTAGAAATGAGGACAACTTTTTGTTTTAATGAGTTGAACTTTTACAACTCTTACAATTGGAAAATACATTAATTTTTCTGACTCTGCTATGAAACAATGGAAATAGTGTAACTATATATATATTGTAAACAAATGCTCTCTTGTTCCGGGCAATATAAGATGCAGTATTACTTCTGAGTCTCTACCATGGTAAGGTATAGTATATAACCTGAAATAGTAAGGAATCTTTTGATTATCTCAGGAATGTTATTTTGACCAATTTGCAGGTTTTCTTCCATATTTATTTTCCCACTTGTTTTCTGGGATATTTTGATTTCTTATTTTTACCTCTGAGACTGAAGGGAAAAAGGAATTAATTTAGTGCAGTAAGTTTCTTGAGCTGATTTAAGTCTGAAAACACCCATTTAGGCATCCAAATTTAATGACAGTCTGACTGGGGGTAGTATTTTAGACTGAAAAAAAAAAAAAATTCCTTCAGAATTCTGTAGGCAACTTTCAACTGTCGCCTAGCTTTGTCATTGAGAAGTTCAATGGCATTATGGTTCCCGTCTCCTTGTGACATCACTCCATTCTCTCTGGCTTACAGACTATGAAATATGTCCAGTGCTCTGAAATGTCATAGTGATATGCCTGAATGTGCGTTTATTTCACTCTGATCTATTTTGCTGAGAAGTTTGTGGTCCTTTTTAAGTTGGAAATGAATGTTCTCAGTTCTGAGAAGGTTCTTTGGAATATATTTTTTTAAAGATTTATTTATTTATGCATACAGAACTGGGGTACAGGCCGGGGGTGCAGGGGTGGTGAGAGGCTTCACCAGAGCAGAGTGGGGAATAGAACAGGCCGACTCATAAAGTACACTGCTGAGGGGAGCAGCGGGCAGGTCAGGAAAGGTCTGCTGCCATGTGGGTCAGTTCTGGGGAAGGTATCGAACTCATGCTGAAGTGGCTTTAGCTTCTGAGTGCTGCACTTTAACCTGCTGCGCCTCCAGGGAGAGCCTCTTTGTAATATTTTGTGGATGATTTCAACCCTACACATTTTGTCTTTCTCCCTTTCTGGGATTTGTGCTATTAGATACTATTGGACTCTATTAGATACTATTGATTCTATTGGACAGATTCTCGAATTTTCTTCCTTCTTTTTTGTATATTCTGTCTCTGCCATAGGTCCATTTTTAAATTCTTTACCTATAAGCTTTAAGGACAAATGTTTAACAGAACTCAGAATTTTCTGGATCTTAGAAAGGCTTAATAGTGTAAAAGATAAATATAACATCTTCAATGAGATTTGGGGCAGTTATATTTCTTTAGTAAGATATATGCATATTTAAATAAATAGGTTAGAGACTCTAGGTTGTGATTTTGATTGCAAGCTTATGCAAAGTCATCTGATTTTCAGAACTTTTTGTACTTTAGAATTG